GGTTAAGTTTTTGCTAATTTATTTTTGTTTGAAGATTCAAAAAAATTTCATTAAAAACAACATGGTGCGTTTCTACTAACTCACCCCCATATAGTAATTTTAAGTAATGTAATAAAAACAAAAAAAGTATATTTTATTTAAATATAAAAATAATTCGATTTTATAAATTTTTATTATCTTTCTTTATTTTATTACAAATTTGCGAACATGACATCTAAAAATAAATCTGGACAACCACCTAAAGAAGTGTGGAAATATATTCAAAAAGAAAAACTCAAAGATTATAGACATTATAGTACAAAGTGTATATGTAGTAAATCTTGAACACATGGAAAACCAAAAGATTTAAAAGATCATTTAGCTACTGAGTGCATGGTAGTTAGTAGTGACATTAAACAAAAATTTCTTAGAATTGTATCTGCAAGAAATTATCTATGAGAAAATGATACTGAATCAGATTTTCCAGTTTTTAAAAAGGTTCACACTAATAAATATCAAGAATCAAATAGCCAGCCTGAAATTTCTTTATCTGAAATAAAAAAAATAATATGACAGAGCACTTTTAAAATTTTTTATTTGCTGTGGAATACTCTTTTCAGTTGTTAAATATCCTTTCTTTTTAGAATTTATAAAATGTTTAAATGAATTTATGAACCACCAAAGCGAACCTATTTATCAACAACTTTATTGAAAAGTAAAGTTGCGAATATTACTATAAAAATTGAAAATGAAATAAAAAGTAAAAAAGATTTAACACTTGGTAAATATATAATTTATTATTATAAATTATAATAATTAATATTTATTATATATGAATTAATTATAATTTTATTTATTAGGTCTTGATGGTTGGACAAATCCAATTAGGCAAAGCATTTATGCTTATTTATTAATGATATCAAATAAGAAAGAGTATTTATATAGTCTTCGAAATTACTCAAAACAATCTCATACAGGAAAATTTCTTGCCGAAGAAATTAAAGATATTGTTAAAATTACTGGTAGAAAAGTTTGGAGGAATTGTATCAGATGGTGCCGCCAATATGAAATTAGCAAAAAATCTTGTTAATAAAAAATATCCACATATACTTCCAGTTCGTTGTATTGTACATTACATAAATCTTATTACAAAAGATATACTTAAACAACATTGGGCCTCAGATATATTAAAAAAGTGCTAATTAATTGTAAAATGGGTTAAAGTATCTTATCAAGCTGGAGAATTACTTCGAGAATTACAACATGAATTTTCAATTACTAGTGGTGGAATTCAAACTTTAGTAAAAACACGATAGTCAATAGCTTGGAATTGTCTTATATCAATTTTACAATTAAAATTATGTTTTATTATGGTAAATTATTTATTTATTAATAAATTAAAAGTACAATATATTTTAATAAATCTATTTTATAATATTTATTAGATTTTACAAAATTACCTAAATCTAGTTTTAAATAATGTGACTAGTATTATTAAATCTCAAGACTTTTTTAATAATATTTAATATTTAGCATATATTTTATATCTTGCAAAAGAAGCTGTAAAACAAGTTGAATATCAATCAACAACTTTAGCCGATGTTTATATTAAGTTAGTTCAATTAGCTTTTGCAATATATTATATTTCAACAAAGCCAGAATATAGCGAATTTCGAAATATTTGTGTTCAAATTTATAACCACAAATAGGATGAATTTGACTTTGAGATTTTTAAACTAGGATATTTTTTTCATTCTAAATATTGTGGTTAGTATTTACATATAATTTATACTATATATATATATTAAAAATTTTTATTTATACAGAGGTGTGGCGACTTAGTGTAGTGGTCTAGTCGTCATTTTCTCCAAGTGGCAGATCTAGAGTTTAAATCCCACGGATGATGAATTTTGAAAAATAGTCTGTGTTACGGTTTACAGTTGTCAATTATCAGTTGGATCTAGAAATCTGTAATCTCGGTCATACCATCTACTTTGGCACAATAAATCTGAGGAACTGGAATAACCGAAAACCCATTTGGCAAGTCCCGAGTTTGGAGGTAGTAGTGATCTATGAC